TAGAAAATACTTGACTTTACTTAATATACTTAGTTATCGTTAATATTGATTAGGATGTGAATAGCGATGACAATAGTTATCAAAACATTGGCCTTCTTTTATATATCTTGAGATACCATAAATAAAATGTGATGATTGAGAGGCCGTACCTTTGGATCAAACAATCAGATAATCACTTGAAATAAAAGACAACTCAAATACCATGTGATTATATAAGACATGTGTTCATTCCTCAGCGTTACTCTGGTCTGTCCGCCGATAGGACCGCCCGGTATTGTGCTGTTATGGTCGGCGTCAACAATGATGGGCAAAGTGTCCAGTCTTTGTGCCATTGAATCCACGTCTTTGACGTGCCATACGTTGCTATTGTCATCATTCTTGAGACCAAATGGTTGTCTCTTTAATAGTATTACAAAATATTAATTCTCTGTTAATATTAGAGTAAATGACAATTACTTGTTCTGTTCTGCGGACGACACCAACCAATTCAATCTCATCGTTGATTTGTCCATCAGATCTAGACTTGGGATCCAATTTAGATCTGGGAATCCATCCGCGGTTAACCAGAATTCTGGCGTTTCGTTCGGTGACCACAAACGGTGTGATAACCCAATAGCCCAACGAGTCCTTCGACTGTACGCTAAACACAGACCCACTTCTGTCCTCTTCTGGTTTCAGCAAAGATCGCGGACTTATAAACATTTCCATCGTGTGATCGAACCGTCCTCTGAGTCTCACTTTCTGGTACTCCAAACCATTCACTTCAGCCAAACTATCCGTACACTTCTGTCCTCTTCTGGTTTCAGCAAAGATCGCGGACTTATAAACATTTCCATCGTGTGATCGAACCGTCCTCTGAGTCTCACTTTCTGGTACTCCAAACCATTCACTTCAGCCAAACTATCCGTTAATTTATAAAACTATTAATTCCTCATTAGATGGCTATTAAACAACTAGAAGTGTTATCTTAAGAGAGCCACTGACTGTTGCGGTAAATCAATGGCCGGTTGTCTGACAAGTTGTTCCAAGCGGTCGATGAGCTGTAGTTTCCATTGCCTTCTGTATACCTGCCAACAGCCGAGACAAAAGGTGGCGCCCGGTATCACCTGTTGGATCAAATCACACACAAGAGTCAAACAAATCAATTGAATGGCAAATTGCATGCAAACCAATAGCAGGTATGAAGCGATGGTCGGCTTTGCGGTGGGCTTTGCGTGATATAGGCGTCGGTTTGCACTCAATTCGCGCACTAATAATGGTTTGTGTCTTAAGTATTGTCTTAAATACAGGCCTCTGAAGAGCCGATGAAAACCCATTTCACGCAAAAGTTTTGTGACAAAAACAACACCAAAACACGTGATTCAATGCTTACGCAATGTTCGCGCAGTTATTACGTCCGCTTAATGAGTGGGCTTTACGCTGGCGTTCACTTTCACTGCAATACACGCTTTCGTATTGAAGACAATACACTTTGCGTTCAAACGCGTTGTCGAGTTATGCAGAAAAGCTATTCGTGTATAGAAAGG